TGCAGTTTGGTTATGTATGCTCCCCGCAATGTAAACTCCTCTGACAGGCTCCTGCCCATGTTTTATGGCCTCTCATGCCTTCACACTAACACTTAACATCTGCAGCACAAAATTTGTAACATCAGTTTGTTCAAATAAAGAATCCACGAAGCATTTAATTCTTGTTTTAATGGCTGATGTTTATTTTAGTTTGGAGTTTCATGTACTCATGGAAGGATTCTCTGCCCATAGTCCATAAATCACACGGGGCAGGAGTGAGACTTCTCTGTGCTGGCTTGTTTCTGAAGTGAGGCTCTAGAGATGGGGGGGGATTTTTTTTGGTGCCTCCATAAAGTTGACTCACCTTAGGTTTGAGCTGGAGATGTGTTTAATGAGGATTTTTACTCTTGGTTTTTGGATCTTTTTCTCCTCTTTATCAAATGTTTGCGATATGGCGTGTGTGTATTTCTTTTGTTCTGTTTGTGATGGTTCCTCCATGCAAATGAGTATTTGTGTATTTTTTCCATGTGCTTGATTAGGCTGGAAAATCATTTGCATGTGTGGTAGGAACATGCAAATAGAGACCACTCTGAAGGACAAAAAGAATAAAGAAAAATTACCGTATAGAGGAGCTACAAACTTAAACAGGTAAAGAAAAATAAAAGGGTAGGGACACGACACGTGACATTTCTGTTGAAGCAGTTTGTGTCCCTTTGCCTTACCTCATCAGTGACCACCTGAGTTCCCAGAATCACAGAATGGTGGAGGTTGGAAGGCACCTCTGAAGGTCATCTAGTCCAAGCCCCCTGCCAAAGCAGGGACTCCTAGAGCACATGAACCAGGATTTTGTCCAGACAGTTTCTGAATATCTCCAGGGAGGGAGATTCCACAACTTCACTGGGCAGCCTGTCCCAGTGCTCAGTCAGCCTCAGAGGAAAGAAGTTCTTCCTTATGTTCAGGTGGAACTTCCTATGCTGCAGGTTATGCCCATTGCCTCTTGTCCTATTGTTGGGTGCCAATGAGAAGAGTCTGGCCCCATCCTCTAGACACTCTCCCTTTAGATATTTCTAAACATTGATCAGATCCCCTCTGAGTCATCTTTTCTCCAGGCTGAAGAGCCCCAGCTCCCTCAGCCTTTCCTCATATGAAAGATGCTCCAGTCCTTTAACCATCTGAGTCACCCTTCGCTGGACACTCTCCAGGAGCTCCATGTCCTTCCTGTACTGGGGAGCCCAGAACTGGACACTGTTGGAGTTGTTTGTAGGTTCCCTTGACTCCATTACATGTTGCCTGTTTCAAGAGCTCTTATACTTGGAGAATGTGAAGGAGAGGATGAGAGCAAGAGCCCAGATTCCCTCTGTTAGATCCCTCTGGCCGTGTTGCTAGGCAAGCCTGTGGGGTGGTAGTTTTCCACACACAACCTCTAATCCCTACCACCCAGTGGAGAGCAGCCAGTCACAGCTTCAAGTAAAACTCCTGGAGAAATGGGAGCCAGAGGCTTTGTGTGAACCAAGACTACCCAGAAATTTGCCAGGAGTCCCTTTATGCTGCTGCTCTCCAGAAATCACACCTTTCGGAGTCTTGTACAGCTGCCTTCTGCAAAGAAGTGCCAATTCCTTCATCTCTGGAGCAGGGACCATGCTGGCAAATGACCATGGCCTGACCTCTCTCCTCAGAGTGCAAGTTACAATCTAGGATAGTGGGTTCTCTGTCACACATGGCTTTTTTCCACCAAAAAGGAGGTTTTTTTGAAGTTAAAACCCAAAGTACTCTGAATTTTTCTTCCACTGAAGCCTTTTTACATAGCTCATTCAATGTCAGGCCTAGACTTATCTGAGCTTAGGTCTAGCTCCCCATAAAAGCAAATTCTCTATAGGAAGAGATTTACACCAGCTGAAAACTTCTAATTTATTAGGGAATTACCAAAATAAGAATTTGATGGGGAAGTGCTGTTGCTTCCAGGAATGTTCTGGTTGCTAGCAGCAAGACCCAAAAGGTCAGTGTTCTTACTGGAATAATTTGTCTTCTCTTCCTTTTTTTTTTTCCTGATTTCTCCCCTGGTATTTAAATGATAACCTTGAAAATTCTGCAGCTAAAGATGCAGAGGGAGGGATGGGGGGATGAATGGAATGAAGAGAATAAACAAACAAACAAACATGAGAGGTTTTTTCACAGAAGTTTGGTGAAGTTGTTTCCATTTCATAGTTGGCAAATCGAAGGTGTGTTCATGGTGGACAGCAGGATGACCATGAGCCAGCACTGTGCCCTTGTGGCCAGGAAGGCCAATGGCATCCT